TTTTGAATTCCTTCTCTTCAACATCATTTTCTAAGTGTTTGACCAGATTTGAACAATTAGTAATTTATTTGTGTTCATAGTTTTTAGCCTTTCATTATCAAAAAGAAAAGCGAAAACTTCATTTAAAAAACTATACAATTTAAATCGTTCTTGTAATAAATCTTTTACTTTATCGATTTGTTTATTAAAGTAAGATTTTTTAAAATTAACTTCAGCCGTTTGAGTCAGATGGTTATAATCATCACCAATTTCAGAAACGAGATCTACTACTAGATTAATTTCATCTAGCATTCTACTAAATTAATTTCATCGTCTCTTGGTTCAACCTCTTCATTATATCATTCGGTATATCATCAAAATCATAATATTTCTCATTTGCTTTATTTTTATGGTCTGTATAATAACAATAGTCTGCCAATCTCTTGATGTCACGTACTCTCCATTTTGGTAATGGTAAACTAGGTTCTGGTGATTTATCTAGACAATCTTTGTTTCTACTTGTTAATATATATATATATATATATATATATATATATATATATATATATATATATATATATATATATATATATATATATAATATACATATGCATATATATATATATATATATATATATATATATATATATATATATATATATATATATATTTATATATATACAGTATGTGCCAAAACTGTCACCATGTTTGAACAAAAAAATATTTTATATATGTTTCAACAGAAAAGTTGTGAAGAAAAATGAAATTTTAGTTTTATTAATTAAATTTAAGACTTAGCTAAATAAAAATATTGCTTTTTGTTAAATTTAGAAGATATTGAATTTTTTTTAAATTTTTTATGTGAAAAGCTAATGGTGACAATTTTGTCGCGAATGAAAGCAAATAACATATTTGTCCACAGTTAATTAGGCATACGACATAAATTAATACCCTTATCACTAAAATGATTGAGTTATCAACTTTTTACAAATTTTTAACGATTAAATATCATTTAAAGTTTGATTTTGTTTACAAGACATAAAAAAAGTATTGTTATTATCATCACGAGGAAAATAAATCTTGATCTAGAAAAAAATATTATGGAAAGGCTTAAATCCGGACAATCTTATCGTGAAATCGCTGCGTTTCTGCGCTCGTGGAGTCGGTGAATTAGTAAAAATTAATGGAATAATGAACGCTGATGACTATATTAACATCCTTAAGGTTGGATATTTCAAGTCTCTTCGAAAATAGGGCAGAACTGTATGTAACACGATGTTCATGCAAGACTACGACCTCAAGCATAAGGCTGAAAAGATCATTATTGAGAAGAAATTGAAAGTCGTTGATTGGCCAGCACAAAGCCCTGATCTTAACCCACTCGAAAATTTATTAGCAATAGTTAAACAACGGGTCTACAACTTTCCTACTCCATCTAAGAATAAGGATGAACTTTGGGCTTGTGTACAAGAGGTTTGGTACTCAATTACACCCGAGGAAACCGCAAACTGGTTGCTAGTAATCCTAAAAGAATTCAGGCTGTAATTAAATCTAAGGGAGAGTACACTCGATATGAATTTACTACAATATGTTATTTGCTTTCATTTGCGACAAAATTGTCACCATTAGCTCTTTACATAAAAATTAAAAAAAAAAATTAAAAATCCTCTAAATTTAATAAAAAGCAATAATTTCAGTTAGCTAAGTCTTAAATTTAACTAAAATTTCATTTATCTTCTTAGCTTTTCTATTAAAAAAAAAATATAAAATATTTCTTTATTTAAACATGGTGACAATTTTGGCACGAAAGTTCGTCAGTTTCAAACACTACTTTAATAGGCTTTGAAATATATATATATATATATATATATATATATATATATATATATATATATATATATATATATATATATATATATATATATATATATATATATATATATATATATCAACGTTCTATGAACATAACATTTATATATACTGATGATTCTTGTGCTTCTTTTATAATCTGTTCAAAATTGAATTCATCAATTCATTCAACCAAATTGCCTTTGTATGCTGTAATGCAATATTAATTGCTTTTTTTTTTCGCTGAAGCATTTAGCTGAAAATATGAAGCTTTAATAACAAGTGATACCAAATTTCTGTGAGCACAACATATTCATAAAAGTTTTTTTGTTTTATTAGAAACGCAGCATGAGTTTTAGAATCTGGATGGCTATTTTTAAGTTCATCTAGTGCAAGACTTATTTCTTTTATGCGGTATTTCACGGCTTTATACTTTTAAAGCCGTGAAAGTTATACTTTAAACACTACTTTAATCAGCTTTATACTTTCAAAGCCTATTAAAGTAGTGTTTGAAACTGACGAACTTTCGTCTCGTTTAAAAAATTTATCTAATGATCCCGCAAGACTATTTAATTAAAATAAAAATCTTCTAATAGAAAAGTAATTACTAAGTAGTAATAAGTAGTTTTTTGATTTGTCTAAATAGAAGTTTCTTATTAAGAAAACGTGTTTTTTTTATATTTGGGGCTCCTTAAATATAAAGGGCCCAGTGCAGTTGCATTTGTTGCTCTTGCCTCAGTACGGCTCTGTTTTCATGTGTTTTTTTTTTTTAATAATTTTTTTTTAGTGTTGCTTTTACACAATATTATTTTAAATTTTAAAATGTTGTTCAAAATCCACTTTAACGTTCATAAACACCAATTGTCACAAATTAGGTTTGTTTAATTTCTTGTGTAACTACATTTATTTGCGGTAATTACCCAGCCGGGATTTGCGATAATCTACCGAGAGATTCAGCCGGAAGATAATCAGCCAGGATTTGCGGGAGATAATCACCCGGGATTTGCGATAATCTACCCAGCCGGGATTTGGTCGGAAAAAAAAGTCTTTTGAGTGCGGTTTTAAATAAATCGCCGGTTGACGTCATCAAAACGTTTTTTTAATTGGTTCTAAAAAGATTTTTATAAGACGTCATTTTATGATGAAATGCCAACTTGGTTGTAACTTTAAATCCTTAAGTTTATTTACTTATATTTTGGTCTAAACTTGTATTTTAATACTGAGCCATTAGATTTTGCGGAACATTTTTTTAATTTTTTTATTCTTTTTTTTTTTCAGTAAATCGTTTTAAAACAAAAAAAGTTAAAATAAACAAACGTTATACAACACGAAATAATTAAAAGATAAAACAAAAGTATAACTATATCTTTTTTATGCTTAAATTATTTTTAAAAAGAAATTTTTAAAGAGGAGTTTTATAATCTCAACTTAAGAAAAAACTTGTAGCTGAAGACAGTGCTTTAGGTTGTTTCTTTAACGTTGCAGAGTTTCAAACCAATAAGCAAACAAAGCATTTTTGACTGTTAAAAAAATGTGTTTGAGCTGAACAATCAACTTGTTGAAAAGAGAGAAATATCTCCAAATCATATTGTAAAAAATTTAGATAAATGGATAAGGAGAATTTTTAAAGTTTTTTTTTAAGTATTCTCAATTGTGATGTAAATGAATTTAAATGAATGTAAATTTAGTAGCCTTGGCGCAGTGGTTAGAGTTCTGGCTCAGAACCCAGAGGTCCGAGGTTCGACGCCATCTCTAGCCCAACAAGCGACATTGGTACGGAAGGAGGCGTGAACTTCCCGTTAAATGCTCTCCCGCGGTGCTCTATGACAAGACCGTAAGGACTTCTGGGAGCACCTAACTACTAACAAAAAAAAAAAAAAAAAAAAAACCAAAGATTGAATTCTTATACAAAGAGGATTTAAAGCATGACAATCTTAAATACGGAGGAGTTAAAAAGCATCATTTTAGCTATTGTTCAAAATGTCGAAGAGAATCATCACAAAATCAAGAAGACGATAGATCTATTAGGGATTGCGACAGAGAAGTATTTCTTAGCATTTAAAAGGTTCCTAATATATATGTTGGCATGTATGATCTGTGACATAGAAGCTAATATAGAATAGATTTACCATAATTAAAATTATTTTTCTGTATGTAATTTAAGTGTTTTTTCAGAACACTTGGAGTAATTAGAGATAATACAGAACAGTACAAAGTATTTACTTAAAGTAAATTCATTGCAGTTTTCAAGAATTGTGTTCAAAATTCTTTGCTAGCCCTGCCAGATGATACACAAATTTCAGGAATCATTTGTCCAATGGAGCTCAACCTATTTTCGGGAAATACAAAACGTTTGTATAACATTGGTGATAAAATGCTGTCCAAAAGAAAAGCCCTATTTCCCATGATTACATGGATTAAAGTAACAAGGTTGGAAAATCCAAAATTGCACAGTAGATAGTTGAGGGAGGAAAGTGTTCAAAGCTGTTAGATAACATAGAAATATTAAACAATATTCTTAATTCCAAATCTGGTGTTGTACATGAAAAATTAGGAATTAAAAATGTGGAATTACTGCACTAAGTAATGAGAAAAAAAACGTATTTTGGTTTAAGTTTAGACAAAAACTTGTTTTGCTTTAAGTTTTAATCTCACAAGGATCACCTTATGAAATTAAAACTTAAAAGCAAATTTTTTCCAAGGTTTTTTTTTCTGAATGGTAGATATCAGTACGGTTCAAGAAAGGTATGATATAAGCCTGAGAATTTTTTTTTTTGAAACCTTTTTCCTTCTTGGGTGTGATTAGAATATATGCTTTATTACGCTGTATGCTTGATTACTTCTGATACCCAGTTTATAAATTGTAATATAAAATAAACACGGTTTATGTTAAAATTTGTTACAAATATTTCGCAAAAGTAATTAAAAATTTATAAAGATCTACTTTTATAGGCTATTTTCAGGAATGTCATCTAAACGATAATGCATTAGTTTTTTTTTTTTTATTGATGACTTTTTATGAATCATGACTTAATTGATTTTAATCATGTGATATATATATATATATATATATATATATATATATATATATATATATATATATATATATATATATATATATATATATATATATATTAAATAAAAGCAATTACAAAGATTTTATTTATTTAAAGATGTAATGGCAAATATTCTTGAAGCTAATAAAAACGAACCCGGTATGTTATTTTTCTTGTTTTTCTTTTTTTGTTTTTGCTTTTTTTGTCTTTTCTTTGTGCTTTATTGAGAGTAAAACTGTTTATTAGATGGCGTATCAAATTTTTTAACATTTTATCTACATTTTATTTAAGTGAAATAGTTTCAAAAATTAAACTTTTGATAAATATAGTTTTTTTAAAACCTCATTTTTTCCATTGACTAAAAATTTGAAAATAACTTTACTATATATTAATTATATAATGTATAACACTTGGTATAGATTTATATCCACTTATATCCACATATATATATATATATATATATATATATATATATATATATATATATATATATATATATATATATATATATATATATATATATATATATATATATATATATATATATATATATATATATATATATATGTATTAGTGCTTTTATATATCTTCGCGAGAGTGCTCGGTGAATTAAAGTAAATTAAAATGATTTAAACTAAAACAGAGCTAAAATATATTTACATATATTATTTATAAATAAAACTGCATATTTTTCATATATGTATATATATATATATATATATATATATATATATATATATATATATATATATATATATATATATATATATATATATATATATATATATATATATATATATCTTTTTGATGAGTTATTACTCCAGGAAACTTTTTAGTTTTATAGAATATTATAAAAAAAATATTTTATGGTGTAACTCAGAGACCTGAAAATTGACGGAGAACCTCACAAACCCACAAACTGATTGCTCATTTTAAAAAAATTTTGTACATTATATGTACATATGCATATATACATTCATACATTTATTTATATAAATTTTTATAATATAATAATATTTATAATTAAAATATAATATATTTATAATAACCTTTATAATTAAAAAAAGAAAGCTTGATTTCCCAACAATTGCTTTGCTTAATCCATAACTCTGCGTTAAGTTGAACTTAAAACAAAATATTTTTGTTTCTGTTCTCAAATTTCCAATTCCTGAAAGGTATGAAGAGATTTTGACTTTTCAAACAATTTCGTACTGGCTAATGAAGTTTTTTAACAAAAACCAAAAAAAAAGAATAATAGATTTTAAACATACTTTGACATCATATATTTATTTATAATTCTGGTTCATTATCAAGTCAAATGATAACAAGGAACCCCAAAAATTTTGATTCAGCATATAGTGTTAAACTGAAAATATCACGTATTTAAATTTACTTTGAAAATGACTTTTTGAGAAAAATACAAAAAAACTAAAAGTTTATTTTATTATGAAAAGAAGGATATGCCATTTAAAAAATTAAACATGAAGCACATAAAGAACAAGAAGCTGTAGTAAAAATAAAGTTTAGTTTTTTAGAACTTCCCTAAAGTGCAACTTACGGCTCTCGCAAAAGTACAATTTTTTCATAAACAAAAGCTACTTTTTTTTTTTTAATATCGATAGAAAAAATTAAAAAAATTATTTTAATAATAAATGTAAGTGTTATAATTAAGGCACTATTCCAATTAAAGCAACTCTACCCAAGGTACGTAATACTCTGGGTTGGATTTCCGTCCTTTATTTCTCCAAACTGCAACTATATTCACACTTTTCCACAGTGGTACAAAATCTTATCCCACTCGCAATTATTTTGGTGACTTTATTAATTTGCCGAATAATATATAATATATGGATAAATGTAATGAGTGTACATAGATTGACTGATTCAATGATGAGCGCAGCATAGTGAACATACAACGACTAATTTAAGGAGAAGTGAACTCATATCAACTGAGGGTTTTTCCAGTCCATGTCATTAAATCTTTGCGAGTGATCAAGGCACAACTCTTTTCAACCGGTTGTACCTAAATGCCGGCCCGGCCTAAAAATCTAAAACCCGGTTAGGATAAAAAAGTTTTATTTTATATAAAAAAAAAACAACATTAAATTTTTTAAAAATTTATTTTAATTCATTTCAAATTAATATAAGTTAATATAATAAAAACTAATATAAACTAATATAATAAAAAGTTTTTTTTTTTTTACAAAGATAAACAAAGTTTTAAACATCATAAAACAATAAATAATAACAATTTGCTGAAATGTATTGGCTACATTGTCAGAAGACTGAAACGGTGCGCAGGCATTATAAGACCAACAATTGCATTGATTGCATTGTGACCATTTTAAATAAGCACCACGGGTTTTAACACATAACGAAATGTCACTTTATGTTCGTTAGCAACATGCGTTGTACAAGTCCATTAAAAATGCAACACATGTCACAGCTGTCTATAACACTAATGTTCACATTTTCGGTAACGTCTTTTGCAAATATTAGTGTAAAAACTCCACAATTATTTCCATCGAGTTGTTGAGGTGCATTAAAAAAATTTCGTATATCTGACAAACATATAAACTTTCGAAGTATTATCCCCATAAAGAGAATCCACAGATCCAACTGTTTAATCAAGAATGTTGGCAAGTTAGAGTACCTGGTGGTTGTTGTTAAACTGAAGGGGCAAAATAATACCAAGTTACTTTCATAGACTTTTTTGTAAAGCTGACCATTTAGGTTTTTTTTGTGACATCATTGAACCAAAAAAGAAGGTAGGACATTATTTAGGTTTCGCTTTTTAGCCTTGCTTCAATCTATTAGCAGATTGAGGTAAGCATGGGTTACAGCATTAAACACTCGTCTGAATTTAGTGTTGCTAAATCTTGACTGTTAATTGTGCAGCTACCAATAACAAAGTTTTCTTAGAGTAACAGCCTAACAGCTTGTGATTAAGCGTCTTAGTATTCCGTTGAAGTAATTTTTTACATATGTGATGCGATTGCGTTATTCATGATTCATTTAGACAATCATTGTTGCCATTGTCACACGCTTGTTTCGACTTGGATGCGTACAGTGGCAGATTTAGTATAGGGCGTGGGGGGGGGGGGGGGGTGAGCAAGATTAGTATGATGCAAGAGGGTAATATATGGTAAGAAACTTATATACTCCGTACACATTTTCAAATTTTATAAATTTATGATTTCAGGTTTTTATTTACTTAGTCTAAAGTTATTATTAATAAATTTTAATATTTTTTCTGTAAGTTTTAAATTTATATCCTTGTTACAAAACTAAATTTTTTAACTAAGTGAATATAAAACAATTAAATCTGATTTGGCAAGTTGACAGCATAGAAAACTCAGTTAATCTAGCAAATCTTCTACTAAGAAACTGACAAAGTTGACACTGCCATCAGCACATAAACTGAAATGTAATGTCTAATCTATTTTCCCAATTATTGTGGTGAGTAGCATGAAGTAATGTTTACATCACAGCCAAAACCCACATTTTTGATAAACTTATTGATAGACATTTTTACTTAATGAAAATATTGATTATTAATGAAAATAAAAAATGTATCAGTGAAGACTCCTTACAGTAGTGGTTATTACTCCAATAAAATAAATGTATAAGCTCCAGCTCCAATAAAACAGCCTCTGTTAATATATATTTACTTGAATAAAACTACCTTTGATTAATTCATATTTACTTTATTTATTAAATGTTGAATTGTTTTTGAAGCAACTGATAGCTTATGATGCATTGTATAGGCTTATAAAAAGCTTATAGTTTAAGTAGTATAAACCTGACAATTAAATTAACTTCTAAGTATAATTTAAATTAATTTTAATAATTATTAATCTATATAAAATTGTCATTTTAATAGTGCATTTAAAAGTGCATTGTTATGCTCAAATATGAACTTTTTCCTGATCTGAAAAATGATGATTTTTTATTGGTATCTAGACATATCTAGATAGCTATACCAAATTTGATTTATTAAATTATGTTTTTTAAGGGTTTATTTCTTCCTTTTTTTAAAATAATTGGATTGCACTATTTCTTAATTTTTTGTACTAAGAAGTAAAGGTATCTAGAGAGAGTTAATGTTTTTGGTGTGTGTAGTTGTTTGTTTAACGCATTGTTTACTAGACCATAAAAATGAATTAAAAAGTTAAGTCTTAGAGACATTTAATAGAAAAAAAATGATTTCCATAAAAGTATTCCAAATTTAAGCTATTATTGCCAAACAAACTTGGTACATCAGTCAGGGTTGAAAAAAAACCATTATATTATTTAAACTATTAAAAAAAAAATGGAGTTTGAACAAAAAAATTTTTTTTTTCAGTTTGAGCTTTTTTTTTTAAAATAAGCTATGTTTAGTTAATTTTTCAATTAAAAAAAAAAAATCATTAGGCATTTCACTTGAATAAATTATATTTTCTATCAGTATTACCCCTATAATTCATCAATTAATACATCATTATTTTATGTTCTGAAAAACATATGTTTTTTTAAAAACAAGATTTTACTACTTCCATTTTGTTTCTTAACTTAGTTTAAAACATGGTTTAATCCAGCCCTATATATATATATATATATATATATATATATATATATATATATATATATATATATATATATATATATATATATATATATATATATATATATATATATATATATATATATATATATATATATATATATATATATATATATATATATATATATATATATATATATATATATATATATATATATATGTATATATATATATATATATATATATATATATATAATATATATATATATATATATATATATATATATATATATATATATATATATATATATATATATATATATATATATATTAGGGTTATTCAAAAATAGGCCATGTCAAAATTTTGATAAGAGCCCTAGCTTATGATTTGCCCTGACCCCAAATTAGAACTTAAAATTAAAAAAATTTTTTTTTTCAGCATCAATAATAAAAAAAAAAAACAGAGGACAAAAGGGTCAATTTTTGCCCCTTTTTTAGGAAAACTTTGCCCCGCTTGTGGAACCCTTTGATTTCAACCAATTTAAAAATTGAACTATCTAATAACATGGTAACGAGTTCTTCTACTTAAGTTTTAGGTGCTCTTTTCATAATTATT